ACTCCTGTGGCCTCCTATTCTGGAAGGTTTCATTCTCCTTAGGGACCAAGGCCCAGCCCCCTCACCACCGCACTCCAATCCAGCAGGCTAGGCTAGGATCCTCCTCGCTGGGAGACACTGAGCCTCCTACTCAGCCCTGATCTACCTCTTCCCCCTCAACTTCCCGCACCTGAGGGGGGATGGAGGGGGTGTGATTCTGGGATAAAGGCAGCTGCTATATTTGAATGATTACGTAAGTCAGCTGCAATGTGATGATTCCATCAAAGGTGGGAGACAATTTGAGGAGCAGGGGTCCCCTCCCACCATCTCTAGGCTCCGGCCTGGGCAGCAGACTAGACTCTGAAAGGACCTGGGGATGGACAGCTAGTCTCCACATTGTTGGTCTGCAAGAAAAGAGCTTCTCTGGGTCTAACCACAGGAGGAAGGCCCTATCTCCTACCTTCTTAGAAAAACAACCCTCTGGTTTCTGGAAACCCTAAGGTTAGAGCCAGATCATGCCCCAGATTTTCCCCCATGAATTCTCTCCAGCAAAAAAAACAGAACTGAAGAAGCTTCACCACTCAGCAAGAAAACAGCACCTGCCAGGGTGGGCTCCGTGCATGAAGGCAAGGCCTGCCTGTCCCAGCTGGGGAGGACCTGTGTGCTGGTCTGACCCGCTACTTACTGGTCACCTTCCTTATAGGTCTCTAAGAGGCAAGATGACACATGCAAAGCCCTAGCACAGCAGGTGGTGAGTGCTCTCTTATGACTTATGAACACTGTCTTCTGCATCCTTATCTTTATTGCCAACACCAAGGACAGGATGGAGACTTCCCAGGTGCTGGGATGACAGACTGACCTCTCAGCCCCCAGTGACTGCTGAGCTGGGACGGAAGGCAAGTGACCAGATCAGAGAACTGAGGTCTGAAAGGTGAGTTTGGCCGCTAAGGCCCACCCCTTCCATCCCCCCTAGGGATGTGGGACTCTGGCAAGCCCTGCCTCCCGGGCCCCCAGCTCTGGTGCTCCTGTTTGGGAGAAGACCTCTGTCCACATAGGATTAGTGCCTTCCAACACTGGAGGGCACAGCAGGAGTTGGCCTATGTGGAGTCTTCTGGGGTGCTACAGGCAGGGGAGGCAGGTGTGCCAGCCAGTGGTGGGCACCAACATGAGGCCCGCCTCCTCCACGACTCCTGGCAGCTCCTCCTATAGGCCCCTCAGCACTTGAGGAGGAAGGCTGTGCCCACCCGGACTGTAGATTATGTTACCATGACACTGGTCTCCATGGTGCCAGGCACACAGCCCCTCCCCTCACCCAGGAGGAGGGATAAAGTGACAGGAGCTGAGATTCAGGTCCCCAATCCCCTTGCCTGGACTGTCCCTCTGCTTCCATCAACCTGTGAGGTCCACAGCTTGAGACCCTCAGAAGACAGGGCAAGGAGAAAGGACAGTTCCCACTTCGGTGTCAAGAATAACAAAAAGGACTCAGAGTGACTTACTTGGAGGGAAGACAGAGGGTGCAGAAAAGTGGTAGAGAAGGTAGGGAGGGCTGGGGAGAGGGAACACACACCATAGCCATGAAAGGGGAAGTGGCTCCCAGCTGACACTGGGTGGGAGGCACGGTCCAGCCCCTCTCTTTGGTCTCAGCGTTTGGAGGTGGGTGGTAGTGGGCGGACAGAGAGGAGAGCAGCAGCAGGAGGTGGGGGAGCTATTTTCCTAGACAGCACTCGTGTGTGTGTGTGTGTGTGTGTGTGTGTGTGTGTGTGTGTGTGTGTGTGATGTACTTGCAGATTTGGAAATGCAGGCTGAGGTGTGCAGCACGTGCACACAGAGCACGAGTGTATGTGTGTGGCATGTGTGCCCTGTGTCACTGTGTCTCCAGGGTGATAATAAGGCAGCAGGAGCTGAAACCAGGGCAGAGAAAGTGCGGAAATTTCCACAGCTCGAAAGTGGTGTGGGAGAGGGGACAGGCCAGGGCTAGGCCGGCCTGGGCTGACCAGAGACACTGCTCCTTACAGATTCTCCTGGACCAGTTCCTAGCTGGGTACAAGTGGCTTGCCCTATGCACGTGTGCACACACACACACACACACACACACACACACACACACACACCTGAAGTGCACTTCACACTGAGCTGGAAAGGCAATCTGCTAGAGCTTCCTGAAGGCAGTAATCACTGGGGGAGAGGTGGGGAGGTTGTACCTGTGTAAATGGGAGAGGCAGAGTCCCCAGAGCAGGGCCTGGGTCACTTAGGTCACAGTGCTGCCAAGTAAACAGGAACTACGCCTTTTTCTGGTGGGAGGAAAGAGCCCATGGGGCCCATTTGACTGGGCTGTGGTCATATTTCAGATGCAGAGTGGAGGCATAGAGGAAAGGCCCTGGGGTGCCCCTGGGGTACTAGGCTCCAGCCACAACAGTCCTCACAGCAGGTCACATGGCCTTGCCTGTCACACTACTCCCTCCCTTGGAAATGTCTCTTCTCAGCTCCACCCACAGGGACACTGCCCGTCCTAGGCTCCTGTCCTTCATGAAGTCTTCCTTGATCAGTATCTCCCCACCCCACAGAGCTCTCTCCCTCCCTATCCCACTTACTCATCTGCCCCCTCCCCATGGGTTCTGCACACACAGGTTATCAGTAAGTGCTGGCTGAATGAAAACACAGTGGGCTTGGGAAAGGCTCTGGATGGCATGAGGTCTCCTCAGACATATTTGGAAAGAGGATTAGTAAGGGACAGTGCTAGATACTTCACACTGATCAGCCCATTTAATCCTCCCCAGAACCCACTAGGAGGCAGCTACTATTAATATCTCCAAAGTATACATGAAAACACCAAGGATCAGAGACCTAAGTCACTTGACCAAAGCCACACCGCTGGTGAATCGGGCTGTCAGCATCCAGACCCTTGCTGTTTCAAGACAGTAAGTTGTGAACAGGGGGTTGGGGGAAATTAGAGCCTGGGACCACAGCAGAAGGTGTTAGCTTCAGCCCAACCCCAGCCCTGACCTCAGGGGAAGGAGAGTGGAAGGCCTAGCCCCTCCTCCCCTGGCTCACTCATTTCATGTGAGCCCAGGGGTCTCCTGAGGCTCAGCTGCTGGACACTTTGCAAAGCAGAAGGCTGAGCTAGGAGGAGGTAGGAGAAAGCAGATATCCCAGCTCTCCAAGCCCTTCACGTGTCTCCCTTGGCTTCCTCTCCACTCCTGAGCCCTCCACACCCAGAGCTCCTTGTCGTCTCCCTGGGGTTAGGCCTGAACTTGCACTGGCCCTCAAAGCCCGGACCTCCTCCCCACCCTCACCCCCAATCACATTCCTCCAAAAGCAGCTCCCTAACCTGAGCTCTGGGCTTCTTATCTGTCCCTACCCCTGAACCACAAATAATAGGTGCACAAACCACCAGGTTCCCCAAAGGCCCAGTTTTTAGGAGTCCTTTTGACAAGAACCAGCAAAGCTTTCAACATTGTGGTCACTGGCATGTTTCAGTAAGGCTGAGGCCCCGAAGGCTCCTGTTGGGGTGTACCCCTCACAGGAAGCACTCTTGCTACCATGGACTCCTGCCCACCCTTCCTCAGGGAGCTCACTCTAAGACAGGCGCTGGAACCAGAGTGGGAACAGGAGACCCTCCAACATGACAGTGGGTATGGGACTCAGGCCTAACTCACGCAGTGGCTCTGACTCTAGGCTTTAGGTGAATGGCTGCTCCCTCCTCCCAGATCCTGGAGCCCCATGCATATTCTTGTATTGTTCTACCTTCCAGAACATCACCAGCCTTGAGTGAAAGGCAGGGCTGGAAACTTCTTCCTTCCAGCACAGCAACGCCTGAGCAAGGTGACCACACTGGGGTCCTCCAGACTGGTTCAAGACAGCAATGATAAGTGGTCCATGGCTGCCCCCCAGTGGCCAAATGCAGCCACTGCAGCCAGCTCCTAGGCCAGGACAGTGAGTAGCAGGTGGACACCCCCAGTTCCACCCATTTTCTGGGCCTCTCGGTTAAGCACAAGGTCAGATCCAGGGAAGAATCTCAGCCCCTGAGCACAAGGGGGTCCATCAGCCATGTCCATGCTAGAGATGGAGCGGTCAGGCATTTGATCCATACCAGTCTGGCCTGAACAAGCCATCCAGGGCAAGACAAGGGACTTGGGCCCAACCTGTGGCACAGGCCAGTAGGGTTCAAGAAACCTGTTCCAGTCTCCTGGAACATACAAAGACAAGGGACCTGGAGTCCAGATCTCTGATGCCCCCAACGGCACCCAGGCTTCCCCACTGAGCTGGATTACAGGAGTCAGAGATCATGTGGCCCCTCCTTCTGGCTCTGCCAAGGACAGGTCAGCAGGTCTGCCCACTGAGGCCCCGAGGAGCAGGTGGTAACGGGGCTCCAGAAGAGGTAGGAATGTGGTATCTGGTACCTTCCCAGAGAGTCCCACTCTGTCTCTACACAGCCCATTATCTCCTTTGGTATTCAAGGTCTTGTCTGCTTGTCCCTGATGCAAGACCCGTCCCATCTCTGAAGGGGTGTGCACAGGACCCATGCGATCCGACGTTCTTCTCAAAGCTTCTGTGAATCTGTGGCCTTGTGTCTCCAGCAAAGTCTACAGCAGGGACAAAAGCTCAGGCCCAGCTGGGGTCGGACGTGGCCTGGATCAAGCACTCCCCAGCTGAGATGCCCAGTGATACGATGGGGATGGCATGGAGCCAGGATGAGCCTCTGCCTAGACCAGGAAGTGTGTCTGAACAGCTCAGGTCAGAAAAGAATTCAGGCTCTAGCTTTGGGCCATGAGGGACTCACCTCTGGGCTTCCTGACTAACCCAGGACACCCAATGCCCTCCCTTCAACCAGTCACAGGCCTCAGTACCATAGGGTAAAATACAGATATATTTATATTATCAAAAAGACCCCAAAGTGAGGAAGGGGCATCAGGCAGCCTGGGCCCCCCCAGCCAGCCCAGACTGGAAGGGGTCTGAAGTCCCCCAAAGTCCAGCCCTCAGCCCCGAAGAGCTCCCTTCCCACTAGGCTGAATGTTTCTTTTCAGCCCCTGCTTTTTGCTGCTCTGGGCTTTGTGGCAGGGGGCGGGCTCCCTTCCAGCGGGGCCCGAAGGCCTCCAGCCTCTAGAAGAATGATGTCCTCCAGAGCTTGTGTTCATCTCTCCAAGCCCACGAACTCAGGGTGAGCAGGCCAGCGGGGGGTGGGGTGCTAGGCACCTGGAGTACCAGGAGGGGCTGCCCTGCTGCCCTCAACCCCAGTCAAAGAGCCCCATGTTGCAGTCAGGATGTAGGATGTGAGGTACAGCTTCCTCATGTGCCCCCTGCTGGCTCACACCAGGCACACAGGGCATGAGGGTGTCTGCACAGGAAGGCTTCCTGGTCATGGTTGGTCATGGTCGGACGTGGCTGGTCACGGTCACAGCAGCAGAGACCCGGAGCCAGGCTGGCTCCAGTGCTCAGACATTTCGAAGGACCTGTAGAGACACCAGAAGGCCAGCTTTCGTTAGCTTTGTAATGGCCAGAGGGCCACCGTCAGTGCAGCGTGGTCACAGAGGCTTCAGCAACTAGGGTCACCAGGGGCAGGGAGAAGCTCTGTGAAGCCACCAAGGATGGAGGGGGCTAGAGGGCACTCAGAGCCTGAAAAGGGGGGCTACTGGGAGGCCAGGTCCTCAGCCCTCTGCCCTGGGAATGACAAGTCACTCACAGAAAGAGGGTCTGCAGTGAAGGCTGCCACGCTCCGGCGCATTTCATTTTCACTGCCACGCAGGGGGATGAGTGACACGCTGCCCAGCCGGACCTCAGGCACTGCCCGGGACACACGAGAGGGCTCTGAGGGCCACACCAGGCCATCGTGCTGGGGAGGAGAGAGAAGGGCTGGGTCACGCCTGCCTCAGCTCCCGAAGATACTGCTCTGGATCTGCCTGCCCTTCCCAGAAAAGCCTCCGGCTAAGATCAGAGGTGACACCCTCAGCTTTGATCCCAGCTGCTATGAGAAACAGCTGTTAGCAGATGATCGCATCCCCAGCAAAACACAGCCAGTTATGTTACTCAACAATTCCCATCTCCAGATCCACAAACCTCTCCAAGAATGCAGCACCAAGAAAACACTGCTCCAAGAGGAACACGGCTGCAGCTCCTCTCACCAGGAACCAACTATATTGAATTCACCCTCTTTTCCTCTAGGCCTGACTACCAGGAAACTCAGTGTCAAAAAGAATGCAACTGAGGAAAAGAAACCCCAGGGCTCTAATAGTTTTATCTCTTTTCCCTAAATAATTCTGAGCTCTCCTGTGCAAATCTTTGTTCTAACTCATCTGTTCTAAGTCTTAATAAGCAGCCCCTGGCCCTGCTCTGGCTCAGGGATCATCACCACCCTGTTCCTGTCCAGGCCACACCAGCAGCCAAGTCACTGCCCTCCTTATGCGCAGGCTTTGTCCTTCAGTCCCTTCTCCCCTGCACACCTGGTCTACAAATCTCTGACTCAAATCTGTAAATTGCTCTCTCCTGCTTGAAAGTCTCCCATGGCCTACGGTTTCCTGCATTCAGCCTGCTCTTCCCTCCTTCCTTTTCTCTCTCTCTTTTTTTTTTCATGGTAGGCCCTAGGGATTGACTCTAGGGCCTTTCCACCGAGCTACATCCCCAGCCTTTTTTAAATTTTGAGAGTCTCACTCAGTCATTAATTTGCCCAGGCCAGCCTTGAAATTGCAGCCTTCCTGCCTCAGCCTCTCAGAGTTCTGGATACAAGTGTATGCCACCTCGCCTGGCCTTTTCAAGGTTGAGCTTCTGCTCCTGACTCCCTATCCAGAGCTTACTTCTGGCCCTTCTGGCTTTTTCCTTTAGACCCACTGGACAGTGGGACTTGTCTTTTGCAGCTCCAGGCCTCGGCACCCACAGTTCCTTCTGCCTGCGAGCCGTGCCCTCCTGGTGAGCTTCCCTCCACGCTGTGGCACTCAGCTCCCATCACACACAGGCTTTCCTTGCTGCCATCCCACTAACAGCTCAAACCACCAGGTTAGGGTCCCTTGCCTCTTCCTGTCACCATAGCACAAAGGGATTACAGTATAACAGGTCACTTCCGGGTCTCTGTTCCTTCCTGTAAGGGGAGAACCTGGACCACAGAGCCACTAGGAAGGAAGGGCTCACTGAATACACAGGGAGTGAATTAAAAGCAACTCAAAACCTCCTTGAAGCAGTGAATGGCCTAGATAGTGAAGCAAGCACTTCCATTCTCCACAGTGGGGCCTTCGGGACCTCGCCGCCCCACAGTACCTGTACAAAGAGGAAGGTGGCGAACCACTCCCGGAGCTCCATCTGTGTGTCACAGCAAAGGTACCTGCAGGGAGGGCAGAGGTCTGAACCCTGCTGAGGGCCTGGCCATCGGGCCTGCCCATCTCCCAGCCCAGGGTCTCCCAGCAGGGTACTGCTGGGCAGGGAGGGGAGAGCCACTCAAGGGGCCAGTGCTGCTACGGCTCCAGCCTGGGTTTCAGGGCGGGGCCCTTGCTCACCACTGCTGCTTCTCATGCTTCTCTGTCTCATGCACCACCGTGAAGCCCCAGCTGCAGAAGAGGTGCAAAGGAGCGGGGTCACGTGTCAGCCTGCACCAGTTCCCAGAAGAGAGTTGGGGCAAAGCCCGAGGCCTTCTCATGAGCCGAGCACACAAAAGCCAAGCCTCTTCCTCTCAGCACCCGCCACCTCCCAGGACCTTGGATCCCCACCCCCACCCCAGGCCTGGCCTGAGCACGTAGCTTGGTGGCAGCGTGCTTGTCTGGCGTGTACACAGCCCCAGGTTCCACCACACACCCACAAAAGAAAGGGAAGAAGGGAGGAAGAAATAAAAAAGTACCCATATGCTAGCCCAGGTCTGCCCTAGACCCAGAGACAGCTAGGCACAGAGAGCAGCCAAGGAGAAAGTCAGAAAACCAAATCTGATGACTTGGATGTGCAATTCAGAAGACTGGCATACAGCACCTTTCAACAGCTGAAAGTACACAGCCACCCCTGGAGACTGATGTATGAGCAGTGTCCCTATTACACAAACATGGGAGCAGAGGCACAGAAAGACCTCAGAGAGAGTCAGTGACAGGATTCTGATCCAGGCCAGTGGTTCTCAAACATGAGCATCAGTGTTCCTTTGTTAATTAATTAATACCCAGTCTGGGCCTCTCCCCTAGAATCCAAGACTCAGAATGCCCAGAGTGGCGCCTGTGAATTTGTGCATCTAAGGTACATGCAGGTGATGCTGCTGGTCAAAGGGACTGCAACTTCAGAACTACTGCAGAGATCCTGTCAAGTTTGAAGCCCTGGCCGTGCCTCCCCATCGGTTCTGAGCCCTGCAGGTCCCAGCTACAGGCCTCTTCCCCAGGCCTGGCTCACCAAGTAGGTGGACGGAGTTTCTTCTTTATGCCCAGGTAGACTTTGAGACTCCTGACAGGCCATTCCTTCTCAGGCCGGTGACTCTGGGCAAGGAAGGGGAGACGAGGGCACTTCAGTCAGTTAGTGCAGGGACAGAGGCAGTCCTCCTGCCTGGACACGGCTCTCTTCTATTGCCCAGCTCTCTGAACCCCAGCATAGGGCACCTCCTCCAGGAAGCCTCCCTGACAAAGCCCTCCCAGCCCAGCCCTCAGCCCCAGCCTCCATCCCTGCAGCAGCATCAGACAGTCAACCCTCAGTCAACACTGACACAACCGGTCCAGCTGGCAGAGAATCCCAGCTCCAGTCTGCTGCCCTGCAAACTAGAGAATCAACCCATAGCATCGGCCTGGGTCAGATGGTGCAAGGAGGGAGAAGCTGCCCGGTATCCTCCAGCACCCAGCTGGAATGCGTAGGTGCCATCTGAGTGCTTCAGGCAGCTGCTTCTGTCTACATTTGTCTGTTATTCACTGCTCTCCCCTCCCAGCCCCATGAGGCTCCAGGGTTGACTGTGTGAGAGAAGGCTTGAGGCCAGCTGTTACTAGCCCTTTGGATCCATGACAAAGCTAACAACTCAAGCTGAAGCACACTGCTGTTCGACAGACCAGAGGGAGAACATCCCGATGGCCTAGAACAGGAAGCAAGAGACCAATGTACTGGGGAGAGGTGCCAGGTCACTGACATGCTCCCCTCTGGCCCCACCTCTGCACATGGGTCTGGGCTTAGAAGGAGCAGGCTGGCAGAGGAATGGCAGCGATGGCACCCAGGGAAGAAGCTGCTTGGCTGGAGTCTTCCTCTTGCTCTGAGGGCCATTTGCTCAGAGCCCTTCCCTTACCAGGCACTCCTGGAGCCAGCAAGGACATCAGGAGAGATGGCAGAGGAGGGAGATTCACTTACAACCAAAGCTGGGGGTCCAAGACTGAGCCGCCTCCACCTCGTTCCCCACCATTACCCCAGCCCCTCCAGGCATGGTACCCCAGCAGAAGCAAAAAGAACACAATGGGATGGCTGGGGAGCTGGCAAGTTTTGGGAGTTGGTAAACTCCCTGCTTTCACAAAAGGATGGGCTGCTCAGGCACTAGAGGGGACTTCTATGCTGTCACAAGGCTTGAGGTTTAGGAAGGCCTGAACAGGGACTTTTCAGGGAGTTCCTAATGGCCAAGGGCCTGACAAGAGTGCCCTGTGTCCTCTATGGATACTGCCCGACCAACAGGGCCCAGAACAAACCCGGCTGCAGACATAGGATGAAAGGAGCTGCAGGCCAGGAGGAAGCTGGGCAGTGGGAAGGGAGATCAAGCTGTGAATATGGAGAAACAAGTGTGGAGAAAATACACCAAGTGAGGAGGACGTGTGGAGAGAACGCAGTGATGAAGACACCTGTGCACAAGCACGGAAAAGCCTGGTTAGGAGCACTGAAGAACTCCTCCTGCAGGCTGGGAAACACCATGGTGGAGCAGAAGACTGAAATGGGCTATAAAGGAGATCACAGTGCTGGCGAGGAGAACGCAGGGCTCTGGGTGTGACAGAGGAAGGATGTGGGGAAAACTGGAAGGATTCAGGATGGAAGGGAGAGGAAAAGAACCACCAGTAAGTAAGGAGTAAACCAAGTCAGGGCAGGAGAAAGAGACAGAGACAACATCCCAAAACCTTGGTGAACTGACTGGAGGAGCAGAGAGGCTCAAAAATGCAGATGTGGTCACAGAGGAAGGCAAAGAGAAAAAGCAACCCCCAGGAGGCAAGGCTACAGGAATAGTGATATCAAGCAAAGAGAAAGAGGTGAGGGTCCTGCTTCATCTGCTCTGCCCTTCCCAGGCAGCCTGGCCTGTCCAGAAGCCTTCAGGAGACGCAACGGGCGTAAGGAAGCTACAGATGCTGGTGGGGCAGCAGTGAGAGCTCAGGCTAGCCCGCTGGCTTGGCACCATGCCTGCTGCACATCTCCACTGGATATCTATGCTCCATGGGACCTGCAGGGGCTCATGGGAGGCAGATTCTCAACTAAAGCTGAGCAAGAGCCTTCCCCCAGAGAGAAGTAACCCACCAAGACTAGGGAAGCCCCAAGAGAGGGGTGGATGAGCTCTATTCTCCCAGGTTTGTGCAAAGGCAAGCTGGGCAACCAGTCAGGGGGGCTGCAGAGGGTACCCACAAGCCTCTCTCATCCACCCTGACACTTTATGATCAGGCAGCAGCAAGGATATTCTGATAGGCCTTGACCTCCAAAGTTGGAATGAGGGGAAATGTGAGGTGAGGATCAGAACCCTGATTCAAGCTTTAGGTTCTCCATGACAGGGTTCTTAATTTCTACACTAAGCCCTATGGAAAATTATAGAGTACTACAGTGAGAGGGACTTATCTTGGAGAAAGGACCCTGGACAAGGCTAGGAATGAAGGGGCTTAGGCCACAGGCCCTAAGGTCGGGGGACAGGGAACCATGCCTGGAGAGATCAAGGAGCTCTGTCCCTCATGCTCCCACCCGGCTCGCCTGGCCCCCAGGTGGTGTAAGGCAGCTGGCAGTCAGCCCACAGCTACTCACTGTCTCAGGGGCCCCGCTCCTCGGCCTCTGGCTCTGTTTGATAGAGGATCAGGGTTATGGAAGAAGTCACCCCAGGTCTAGTACCAGGACAGTGTGTGAAGTGGTAGGTGGGGGACATGGAATTACGTGCAGAAGATGGGAGGCCGAAATGAAGTCTGATATGAGAAGACACCCGACCTGTGGACAGGGTGGGCACGGAGAATGCTCTGGAGGGATTTGACCTGGAAAGTGGCAAAGCAGGTGTGGCTACAACTCAGAGTTGTCATCATGCAGTATGTTCTTGTGTGTTGTGATGATGTGTGGTGATATGACTGCATCCAGGTGCCAGGGCCTACTATGGCTTTACAAGGCCACCCAGGGCCTCAGAAGTCTACAGCTCTTCCCCTCCTTGTGAGGGAGACACTCCCACTCACAGGCCAAGGGGGGATGTTGGTGCATGGGGGTCTGAGCACACTCGGGTGCAGCTGCCCATCATGGGACAAGACCCATGGGGCCACTTACCCGGACCTCCTTGTAGAGCCGCAGACAGCTGCTGTTGAGGATGAAGTAGCGATCGTGGAAGCCGCCTGAGGGCAGCCCCAGACCCAAGAGGCTTCGGTCCTCGCGAAACTTCATCATGCCATGTTTGGTGTCACCCACACGGCTGGCTGGAGGAGGACTGGGGTAAGCATGGGCTGTGCCACCCACCCACAGACCCAGATGTCCCAGGGCAGGGTCCCCAGGTAAGGGAAACTGCCCCAGCCTCCATAGAGGCCAGCCTGCCTGGTGGCCTGTGACTGAGCTGCTAATGTCACCAGGCCCCACACTGGCTCTGGACAGAGGGATCCACCCAGCCTGCCTCACTGGCTGCAGGACCCACCTACCCAGGTACAGCAGCATGGCCTCCATGGACTGGTGCTTCTTCACCACCAGGTGGCTGTCTGTGCCCAGCCCATGCAGGATAGGCAACACCTTCTCTGCAAAGTGCAGTGGGCGCTCTGGGGAGGTTACACACATTGTTTGTCATTGGGACCCAAAAACCTGATACCACCAGGGGCCAACACATGGCACATTTCACCTACACATCTATGGACCACTCCCGTCATCCACTGGCACAACACACCACCAACAGGAGCACCCTTCCCACAACCACTTCCAGGTCAACGCACCGCACTGAGCGAAACCAAGCCAGTGATCATCCCACAAAGGTCCCCATCAGCACAAACAACAGCAGTATCTGGCCCAAGCCAGAAGCACTCCCCTGCTCCCTCCACCTTCTGTGCATAGATCCCTGCCAAGCCCTCTCCACTGCCCTACCCTGTCCAGCTTCTCCTTGGACAACTACTAGACCTTCAAAATGGCCTCCGACATGTGTTCTCATTTCCCTCACCCCACCTCTCACCATCTAGCGCAGCGTTCTTCTCACAGGCCCACCTCTAACCCTTCAGAGGCCCTGCATTGCTGTCAGACACTGCGCAGACTCCTCTGTCGCCACTGACAGCCCCACTCTGTGCCGCACACCCCCACACTGGCCTTCTCTCTTCGGGACAGCCGGGTCTCTCTGCCTGCCCAAGGCCTTTTGCTTCCCAGGAGCACTTTTCCCCCAATTTCACCAAGTAACTCTTACTCTACCTCCATGTTTGGCTCAGGCCCAAAACCAGAGAGACCCTTCATAAGCTCTGGTGACACCGTGGGCCTTTCCTTCATAGCAGTTAACAGGGTTGCTGCTGTTTCTTTCTTGGTGTGATCATAGGATTAATGTCTCTATCCCTCACAAGACTGACCCCCACGAGGGTAGGGATGGCACGTCTGGCTCCTCAGCCCAGTACCTGGCATTCAATAAACAACAGTAAAACAAATAAACCTTGATCAATCCAAGATCACTCTTCACCTCACAGATACCAAGACCACGGTCCACCATAAAAGGCCTTGATCATCCCTTTACTCCACAGCCATCCACAATACTATCACAATCACCCTCACCTACGCTACTACTACCACCACCACGCTAACCCAGCGGCACGCATCACCACTCCCTGTGCCCTACACCACCAAGAACGGTGTCACCCTGCAATTCCACTGCTGAATTCAACATCATCACCTCTGCAACCAACACCATTCTCACTGACTGCTGAGAAAACATCAAGGCTGGATGGCTGGCACCATCGACCCCTTGTGTGTCCATATCTGCCACATGGCAGCCATCCCCTCAACCCCTGCCAGTCCATCACCACCATCACAGAGACCACAGTCTTCACCAGTACAATAGTCACAGGTGTCATCCAAAACCCTTTTCATACCATGGTCCCCACACAGCAGGGGAAAAGGAGGATACGCTAGGGCTGTGGCCCAGATGAGACCACACCAGCCTCACACCAGTCCTGGTGGTCACTCACCTGCCTCCTCCTTCTCATTGACCTCAAAGCAAGTCCAATAGTCCTTCTCCCTAATGCCCACATTGCGGCGGTCCAGGATCTCCAGGATAAGTTCCTCAGATGTCATGGATGCTGGGATCTGTGATGACCAAACAGAAGGAGATCAACCTACCCTGGCCCCTGCCCTGCCACAACCCTGTTGTGGGATTCCAAACCCACCCCTCTCAGGTTCTGAGTCCCGGGATGCCGTGGGTGTCTCTGAGGGTCCTGACAAGCAGGAGGAAAGACATGCCCAGCACCAGCCAGACACAGTCCCACTTGGGTTCTCTAGAGGTTGGAAGCCCTACTCCCTGGGCCATCTGGGCTGTCCCCTAGCCCAGCCTGGCTCTACTGGCCTCTTGGCTTCTAGGTCCCCAGCCCTCACCTTGACATGCTGTTCACTTTCTGCCTTCTTCTCTTCCAGGTAGACTGTGCAGATGAAGTCACCAGCATGCTGCAGGGAGACAAGGCTCAGCTGGAGGTCGGCGGAGCAGCTGCCTGCCACCAGCCCAGCCCCCCACCCAGGCCCGGCCTCCACCTGGGTCCCACTGGCAGTGCCAGCCACTCGCATCTTCACAATGGCAGTGACCTCCTCCCGTTGCTTCCTCAGCTCCTCCTCGTCCACCTGGGAAGGGGAGAGAGCAAGGGGTAGAAGGTCACTGCCACCCAAGAGCCCAGCCCTGCCCTCCCCTGACCACTGGCTGGGGACGCACACTAAACACCACCACATAGTGGCCAATGAGGTCTTCTACCACCCGGCCAGCCTTGTAGTCCTGCCCATCTGTCTGGAAGAGCGTGGGCCCAAACACAATAGCCAGGTTGTGTGTGTTCATCTGGTTCGTGTCAGAGAAGCACTGGACACTAGAGAGGAGAAGAAAGATGCATGCGTGAGGAGCCCAGCCCAGAGCTTCCCAGCCCATCTTCCTGAGGGGTCTAAGACAGGTCACTAGAGTGCGGCCAAGGGAGGTCATGGTCAGAGTAGACTCCTAAGTAAAGGGACATGTCTTGGGGCCTGGTGAAGAGTAGGGCTGGGAAGCTGGGAGATCTGGTCAAGGTGCCCTGGCCCCAAACTGAAAATCCTCTATTTTCCCACCCTGCAGCAAGTTAAGATGACAGACCAAACGCTGGAGAACAGTCCCCAGGCCTACCTGGTTCCCAGGGGAGGGCAGTCAGCCAGGATGGGAGTAGAAGTGTCTTCTCCACCCCATCCCCCCAGAGTCTCGCACCGGTATTGCCCCTCACCAGTACAGGTGGCTGATAAGGGCCTTCACTGTGGCCCGGTTGACAGGGGGCAGATGCACCAGGAGTTCTTGGTACCTGGAGACCTTCTCCTCCTCATCTTCAATCTCTGGGTGGGGGAGATGGGTCACAGGTCAGAACCCCTCCCCTCAGGCCTCCCTCTGCCCCTAGCTGCTCTGCCTGTCATGCTGGATGACAACACTCTCTCTGCCCTCCCAGTCCAAGCAGGCAAGATACTCAGCAAGGATAAGGGATTCTCCACCCACAAGGGACCCTGGCTCTGTACACAGTGACAAGAGGAAGGAGAAGCAGGAGAGGAAGGCAGCCTGGAGCCTGTCTGCAGGAGCATGCCTAGTCCAGGTGCATGATGGGGACTGAAGGGAAACCAGAGAGAGAGTTGATAAGGCTGGGCATGGGCTGCAAGGCCCACCTGAGGCCTCCAGCCAGGCTAGGCGCTGGGCACGAGTGAAGAGCCCATCTGGCAGGTCCCGCAGAAAGCGTTTGAGTGCAGAGGAAACATCATCAACGTGCTGCTCGCCCTCCTTGAGGTGCACAGAGCGGGCATCCTGCCGTAGACTCTCCAGTAGCCGTTGGGTCTTCGATGTCTGCCCACACTTGCGGTAGATACCCTCGGAGGTCAGGCCTGGGAAGGGGCGGGGCGCACAGATACTTTCAAAAAGATCTTGGGTCCTGGGGTCTCTCCACAAGGGGTGGGGCCTGGGCAGTAGGGGTGAGGTCTGGGCCACAGAGGCAGGGCTCACCGCACTGCGTGATGTAGTCCACACAGCGGTACACAATCACTGGGATGTCTGAGTCCCCAAGCTGCTGCTCAGACAGGGTGTCCCCCAAGCTGGCTGCTGCTTTCTGGATGGCCCCCAGCCAACCCATGAAGTCTAGCCGCCGTTCCCCCTGGATGTACAGTGTCCTACACAAAGGACATTCAAGTCACTGCTCCATCTCTCCCAGGCTCGTCAGAATGCCCAGCTACCCAGAGCCCCTCCAGGAGGCTGTGACTCACCTCCTTCGCTCCACCAGCACCAGCACCTGGCTCTCACTGTCCCCTTGAACAGCTGTGGAGGGGCCAGTCAGGGTGAGGCCCAGACCTCGTTCATGACTCCCAACCTGCTCCCTCCTGGGGCTCTCTGGGCACACACCCTAGGAGCCACCCACTAATCTGAGGTCACTGAGATGCACCTTAAGGGCAGAAGAGGACAGGGAGGACAGGCTGGCTCCTGGCCAGGCCAGGATACAGCTCAGACTTCTAGGCAGGGGCTGGGGGCTGGGGGCTGGGACAGGGTGCCCTGGAGGTTGGCTGGGATTTGGGTCCAGGTCCACGCACAAAGTTCCTGCAGTCTCCGGAGCTGCAGCGGCTCTTCACAGGGTCCCTCTGGGAAGACGACACGTAGCTCAGAGCCAGTCAGAGCAAACCAGCCTTCCTGGGCCCGCTGGAGGCTCAGGCCAGCTTTGTATGGTAGGCGCCCAAGTCGTTCAAAGTCCTGGGCCAGCAGGTCCTCAGCTAGGGGAGGCACAAATGCCTGATGGGGGAGATGACCAGGAGGACTGTATCAGCCAACAGCACCTCCTTTCTGGGACCCAAGTGCCTCGGCTTGTGGCGCTCCCTACTCAGCTGCCCTCTCCTCTGTTCCTCAGAGTAGAACCCAGCACCATGCCCAAACTGCAGTATCATGCCCACTGCACATCCATTCAGATGTGCCCTCCTCTGGCCCTTCCCAAAACCATGAAGAATGTCCCTTCTCTGCATACCCATGGTGCCCAAGCATTCTGACCATCTGCTATAGCACTGGCTACACTGTGTCTAGACCCTACACGTTGCCCCCACACAAGGGAGTCAAGCGCCAGGACTCAGACTGGCCCATCTGGGCCCCAGGGCTCCAAATACTGGTTCCTAGGAACCACAGCAACTGAGCAATGACCAAGAGAGTCAGAGGATCTCACTGCACAGGGAATCCAAAAGGGCCCTGGCCCTAGTCCCCCAGGTAGAGTTCTCCTCCTTGGTAGCCTTCCTTCCTCTTCCCTCCAGCCTCTGCTTGTATACCTCCAGGGACAAGGAGCTCATCTCCCCTGGAGTCTGCACTGTCCATCCTAAGACGGCACTGGCTGCCACTTATGGAAGAAGACTGCAAGTTCCACATCCCCTCTTCCTCAGGGCTGGGAGTCTCCAGACTTCCCTCCAGAGGGCTGCAGACTGTATCAGGCCTGAGAGGCCTGCCCTTTGTCACTGTTCTTCACCCGTCCTTGCTCCATACATGATCTGCCAAGAGGTCCCACCTGGCCTGTCAGACACCTGCCCTACCAGCCCAGGCCCACCTTGGCAATGCACTTGACCCACTCACGAGCCAGCTCCAAACTCTCCAGCCCAAACAGGTACAGCCGTTCTCCCTCTGTATACACCTCAAAGGTGTGCTCAAAGCTGCAAATACACAGGCCAGGACTCACCCACCTTGCCCCTCCTGCTGCCCACCCACTACCATCCTCGGCCCACTACCCACAGCCCTTGTTATCCCCCCCACCCCCACCTGGACACACCCCTCTCAGAGCAGTGGAGCCTGGAGCCTGAGGAGACCTCAGTCAGTACATATACAGCTCACTGTGTGACCCGAGGGCAGCCCTGCCCGTCTCTGGGCCTATTTCCCTGTCTCTCCAGTCAGAGAGTTTGGGCCACAGTTACTCACCCATGAGAGTCTGGAGAGGGCACTGCCAGGCACACAATCTCGCTGGCCCGAATCTCCCCATTGGGTGTCACTGCCCGCTCATTCTCGTAGTAGCTCAGAACCCCATCACTGAGGACACACCAGCGTCGGCTGAACTCTAGGGAGAAGTTGGGCAAGGGAGCCATGAGGGAGCCCACCTGAAAAGCCCCTCCGCATCCTCCCTGAGCCCCCACCCCACCTGCCCCACATCCTGTCCATTCTAACTCGTGTTTCCCGATTCATTCTGCTTTCTGCAGCCCCACTGCTCAGTACAACCCACACCAATCCGGCTCTCCCCCAGACCTCTGCAGCACCCTTCACTGGCTCCTGGCCTCCTCTGAGACCCAAGAGTGGTCTAGTTAAGATCAGTCTCCATCCCCTTCATCTGCTCAAAGCATCCTATGGCCACCCCTCATCCTCAGGATGGTCTGTGCCCTTCAGCCTGGCATTCAAGGTCCTACTGGGTCTTCCCCTGCCCACCTCCATGTCTGCCAAATCCCAGATTTTACTCAGTCTGCTCTACCCACAGCCTGAAGGCCTCAGGAAGCCTTTTATGCCCACCCTCCTTTGCCAGAGGCACCTTTCACTCTATATCCTGCTTCCTCCTACAATGGTTCTGAGGAGCCCAGCAAGATCCCACAGAGGAAACGGAAATAGGAATCTGGACCAGGAAAGGGTAGAATTAACAGAACATCAAGGCCATCCAGATGTGTAGAGTTTATAGCACTGAGCTTCACAGTGCCTCAGAGCTTCCTGGCACCCAGGGCAAAAAGGATGACTCAGGCAGTTATATAAATGACATCATCAGAGAGGGAGGTAGACCAGGGCAGAGCGGTCATGAACAGGACAGCTCCAAAGAACTTGTGGGAGCAGGAGGGCTTCACCGCGGGGCTTGAAGCAGGAGGTGCTGAGGGATGCAGTGGGTGGTAGCCCATGTTCCCACCGCAGCCTATCGTGCTTACCAGGGCCTGACATTTGCCTTCTGAGTGTGAGGTGTCCCCGAGCCTGTGCCTGAGGATGCGCTCCCTCCAGAAACACAGCCCTGCCTCAGTCCCCCTTCCTTCTGCAGACATGTGCCAAGTGCCCACTGGGTGCCGGGCACTTCCCAGGCACCAGGGCTACAGGGGGATCAAGAGAGAGAGATGGGATGCACCGTTTTAGATAAGCAGGTCAGGGTCAGCTCTGCAGAAGTGACATTTAGAGACCTTACTGAAATGACTGACCACACAGACATTTGGAAAAGGCATTTGGGGCAGAGGGAACAAGCGGGAGTGAAGTGGGAGTAAATCTGGTGCACCTAGGAAACAGCAAGGAGGCCAGAAAACAGGGCAGACTGAGACAAGAAGGAGGACGGCAAAGAAAGGGAGGACAGCCAACTCTGGGCTCTGGAGGGACACAGTAAGGACTCTGCGCAGGAGTCAAGTGGGGACAGAATCAAAGCAGGGATCGGACAGGGAGGGAACTTCAAGTTCATTCCTCAAACTTCGTACCATCCACAGGCTGCAAACCAGACCACAGAGCAGAGGGCCACGCCCACCAGGGGCTCAGGACGGGTTTCTTTGATCTCAAGCAGACTCTGGCAGTGAGCAGCCTGCTCTGCAGCGCCATGCCTTAGCCCTACCCCAGTAGGCCCATCTATTAAGCACCTCCTGTGTACCAGAGACCACATCCAGAAAGCCTTCCAGGTGGCTCTGCCACAGTGCCCTTGACATCCTCTTGGGTCTCCCGGCCCTGAGGGGTGCCAGAATGCCACGGGCCAGGGCAGGGTGTGGCACAGCACTCACCTTCCCGTGCCCGGCGGTCCTGCAGCAGCTTGCCAGCAGAAGCAGTCTTGTAGAGGAAGCCACTATGGCTCACGGTTGGCCGGACAACTGAGTAGTGCTTTTCGAAGGGCTTCACGGAGTCCAGCCGAGGGACCTCTTTGGAGTGAGGGGGTGGGAGAGGCTGCATGCTGGCTGCCCAGGAGGGTACCCCACCTTAATTCCTGCTGGGTTGGGCACCAGGCTCCCATTCAAGTCCCAGCCCTGGCTCCTCAGTTTCACAATCAGTACCCTCGGCCTCCAACTCCTACCTTGTGGGTTTTACATAAACCATTTCTCTACCTCTGCCCTTGCCAACGCCCAGATCTAGTACCTCCCTTCCCTGAAGGCTCCCTGACTCCCAGTTCATCCCCAGCTCCTTGCTGGAGGCACAAGGCCAGGCACACTAGAATGAGGGCGATTTGGGGCCAACTCAGTAACAATCCCTAGAGAGGTTTGTCCCAGACAGCGTGAAGCCAAGGAAGGGGCTCGGTGCCAGCCTTGTTCTGTGATCAACAATGGGGAGGGGTTCTTTCCCCAAGCCCAAGCCAGCTGGGTGGTCTCCTGTGCCTTCCTGGACACCTGGGCTCTCTCCAGCCCGGCACACTCCACCCACCCGTGGCTCCAAGCCCAGGGCCCTAGCCACTGAGCTCCACCCTCAGCCCCGGGATGTGGCCCCGGAGGCCAGGCCTAGGCCATTACCAGCACCAGTCACCTCTAACACCTCCTCCTTACCCACCACAAGAGTAGGAGTCAAATGGGATCTAACCCAAGTCTGTGATTGGACTCCACCCAGACAGAGCTGTGGATGGGGCTGCTGTGGTGGGTCACACGCACAGAGAAAGACAACATCGCCCTACAGAGCAGCACAGACATGCAGCACACACACAAACCCCCAGGCCCTCAACAGCCTTGATCAGATCAAACAGACCTAGAGCCACGCCGAGATGCACATACCCCAGCAAACAGATGCCGCCCGACAGACAGACCCACACTGCGAGTGAGGAAGAGACTCACAAACACATAGAGTCACAGAAAGGGGACACGAAGGGACACACAAAGGGAGCACACAAATACACTGACACCCAAACTCAGTCCACATCATACACTGCTGCCCCAGGGTCCCCGCAAACTGGGATCACAGCTTGAAAGTGGCCTGTAAGTCAAACTTCCCAGGGTGATGCACAGCCCCGCCCGGGTGGGCGCACCTCTCATCCCATCCAAAGGACTGAACTATCAGCAGGGATCCCATCCCCTGCCTGAGGGGGCAGTCCCACTGGCTACTCACCCGTGGTCTGGTTGTTTCGAAGGAATTCCATCTGCAGTGTCTGCCCAGCCTGCTCGGCAAGAGCCAGGGGTGTGGGGGCCTCAGGGTCCCCTGAGAAGCAGTTGACCCCAGCCCCACAGCCCAGGAGAGCCTGGGTCTCAGCCAGGTCTGTGGTTGTGACTGCAGCACACAGGGCCTGGGAGAAGGGAGAGGTCAGTAAGCCCAGACAGAGTAGAGGCCAGCAGGAATGGGGGTATAGGCAAGGAAAGAAGTCACCCAGGCTCGCTCGTGCCCAGGCCTCACCCCTGTGGCAGCCCCAGAACAGAGCTGCTGGTCAGTCTGCAGGCCCTGGAGGATCTCAAGCTCCCTCTGCCTTGTGGAGGGGCAGAGGGGGCTCTGTAGCTGATTCCTCCCACAGTGGAATTCCTCACTGCCTGCCCGGCCTTCCCAACCAATGGGAGCTGCCGCCCTCCTGGCTTGCAGGCCAGACTGGGCTGGGCTGGGGCAGGACGCCTGGGTCTCTGGGAGGTGGAGGCCTGGCTCTTACTGGGCTTCTAGAGCTGAACTGAGCTGCCAGTATGGGGCTGTTTGGGGAGGGGCTGAGGGCCAACTAGAGGTCATAAATAGCATCCCCCTGCCTCAGAGCAAGCTGTCTCCCACTCAAATTGAGCCAGATTAGGGCCCAAGATTTGGCTCCAGCCTGTCAGGGCCTGGGGCCCATAATGGGGCCTTCTCTTGAATGGGGTGTGGATAAGGGTGGGTCGGAGCACTCCAGCTGTTTTTCATGAGCCTGACAGGAAATAGCATCCCCATCAAGTTCACTCCTTTTGGCAGGATTCAGAAGGAACAGGACAGGGTGCGGGAGACAGAGGAATCAGGAGGGAGGAAGACAGATGCTCGGGATGTGGCACTGGCCCAAGGTCAGGCCTGACTCCTCCTTGCAACGCCCTAACTTTCCTCAGGCAGGCCTTGTAAGCCTCAGTTTCCCCATATGCCAACTCTGAGCTGGTAGAGATGGGCTGAGATGGGGCAGCAGGAAGAAAGGGGGTGGTCTCAAGAGGGCCCGAACAATGTAAGGACAAGAAGATGATGGCCTCATGGGTTCCAGAGGTGCAGGGCCTGACCTTGTCCAGCTCTTCCTGGTTGCCAAAGAGTGGGTGGTAGCGGCGGTACTTGCCCTCCCTGTACTTGGCCTCCAGGTGGTGCCGACGGGCTTCCGGGCTGCTGCTGGGCTGCAGGGCCTCGCTGGGGGGCACGTTGGCTGCCCAGAAGCGGTTCCCCGCACCATTGCCCAGCTGTAAGAAGAGCTGTGGGTGTGGGTGAGAGTCAGAGGGGACAGATGACAGCCAGGTCTGAGCTGTCGAGCAAGGGTCTTGGAGAGCCAAGCCACCCAACCACTTCCCAACGGGGAAGGTGAGAAGCAGCTAGGCCTGCTGGGGGACTATGACTGCTCTCCTCCCTGGCCCTGGATTCTGAGCCCAACTCTTCAGCTGGGACAGGACAAAAGGCAGACAGTCCGACAGGTAAACACCTCCAGACTGGCGCAGGGTCCCTGCATTGCCCAACTGCCTGAGGTTATCCCGTTATTGCCACTGCCCGCCCCAGCCCCACATCTGGAACTCCGCATTCCTGAGGTCACAGCTAGAGTTTGTGTCTAAACGGTCAGCCAATGAGGAGGGCAGAGAGTTTGGAAACATCTCTGTCTCTGACACTCCCCTCTCCAACAGAGGTGGAGGCAGATTCTAGAAGACTGCAGGAGTCCAGCACAGGGGGAACTACTTTATTCACTCCTTCTGCTCAGCACTCCTTCCATGGCCACTTCCTGGGCTCCCCACTCCCCCTTCTTTGCCAAGTTCTTTGTGGGATGCTAGAGACACAGCAGAGAACAAAGCAGAAACAGTCCCTGCCACTACTGAATCACTCTGTGGCTTTAGCAAGTTATTTTCTTTCCCTGGGATTCAAAGTACTCATCTGTAAATTAAGTACTCTAATCCGAAATCATACGATTATTTTGAAAGTCAGTCACCATATGCAAAATCTTCATCGCTTATGTGCCAAGTGCACAGTGCACACACAAGTGAATGTGACACCTAGCTTGGCTAGGGTTGTCAGGAGTGCCCTGTGTGGCAGGTCCCCAAGCCCAGCCTCCTGCTAAAGATTCTCACTGCAAGTCCCATGTGTATGGTACCAAGGAACTTCAAGTCCACAGGTATGAGTGCACACGTACGTCTGTAATGCGAAGTGTACCCACTCGTGCTTGTGAACTCAGACAAATAGAAAGGTGAAAGGCTCTGAGGGGAAGAAGGCCTGGGTTAGTCAGGAAGTAGGAAAGGGACAGGATTGAGCAGTCAATATGGATTTATGGGGTAATCTCAGGCAGATTATAACTCTGTGCAGGAACCATCTTTACCTTGGGATGACAGAGTCTCTAACAGGCCAAATAGTAAATAGTATAAACTTTAAAGAAAACATCCAGTCTGTCACATCTTCTTTTTTGCAACCCTTTAAAGCTATAAAAAAACATTCTTAGCTCACCCGTCAGTTTATTTTGCCAAAAGCCAGCTTTCCCAAACTCCTCACCCAGGAGATTACCACAAAGGTCTCCCTAGCTCCAAAGGAGATGGGGAAGGGGAGATGAGAGACCCAGGCAGCAGTTGAGAGGGTCAAACCCCAAGCAATAGTGGGAAACAGGGGCATTCCCACCTTGATGAGGGTTTCTGTCCACACCCTCTTGTCCATCTTCAGGCTCCGAACCTTGGAGATGCCAGCACCCAGGCCGCGGTGCTCCCCTGTAGGCAGAGGGGCAGACTCGGGTCATCTGGGCCCCCTTCACTTGAGTACTCACACCCAACCCCCAGTGCCAAGCCCCACAAGTACCAGCCCCGCCTCTGGCTCAGCTCTGAAACATGGCCACACACCCCTGCTCCCCATAGCAGAGCTCTGAGCCCTGCAACCCTCACCTGGGCTTCTGCAGCAGCCCACGCACCACACTGGCTCTCTGTAGCCATCTAAGGCCATTTCGGGCCAGAATTAGATCTCAATTCCTTATCTGCTTTCCCTCCAGGCCCAACTTCCTGCTTGGACTCTCTTTCCCATCTCCCCATGCTGCTTCCTAGCACTCAGATCTCAGTTGACACGTCACCTCCTCAGAGAGGGCTTCCAGACAAACAGTTCATTCTCCAACAGCACACTTGGCAGCCCCCACCCCCCCACCCCCGGCTTCTACTGGTTCCCATGCAATCTGCATCCCTCACTAGAATGTAAAGTTGCATGTGTGTGGAAACCCTGCCTGACTGTTTGGGATCTATCCTCAGCGCCCAGAACAAAACCCAGCACACAGTGGGCACCCACTAAATCTCAGTAGAAAGGCAGGTGAAGGGAGGAGCTGGGGCTGGAGGGACCAGCTAGCTACAGGCCATAGGCCCCATGGGAGGCCCCTGGAGTGAGGAGGAAGTACCTGCAAGAGGGCTCTGGCTTGGCCCACCTCCCTGTGCATCCTCCCTCAGGGAACCTCATCCCCTCCTGTCAGCCCTTCGGTTCATCACTTTTGTGTGTAACCAGACCCCATGGCTCCAGGCCCCTGGACATTTGCTCTAGAAATCCCACAGGCCTTGAGATTCTTCCTGAGCTTATCAACTTCTTCACTTCAAAGGATTCCCCCACACAGCCACCCAAAGTCACCACGAAGGAACGGCCAGTGAAGGCACAATCCCCAGCACATAGCACAGTGTCTGGCGTATACAGGAACAGATGAGTGCACCTTGGGCTCCCTGCTCGTTCACTGTCATCCTCCTCACCTGACCCCTCATTAAGACTTTCACACCATAAACCCTTCAAAACCCTCATGTGCCCATGGTCTCTTGTGTGATGATCCCGCAGCATGATCCCGCAGCAGCCCCCTCACTGGTCTCCAAACTCAACTTCCACCCACCAGCCAGAGTCAGACATGCAAATCTGACCACATCCCTGGGTCTCCTGTCTCATTTCCCTCTAGACAAGAGCATTGCCCAGCCTGGCCTGCCTCAACTCCCCTGATGCAATAGGGACATCAGAACCCAACAGATCTGGCTTAAATCCAGGCTCACCTACTGCCAGATGATCCTGAAAATCCCATTTTCCTTCTCCATGCCTCCACCCACAGCATGAGATGGAACTACTGCTTTACAGTGAAAGATGATGGCATGGAAAAAACGTGGCATACACAAGCAACCTCATGAATGGCGGCTTCCCACCTGCCACACAGACCAGCTGCCCTTCCGACGTGTCAGCCCCGCCTGCTCTGCCAGATGCCCCCAGCACATGCGCACCTGCACAGCGCTTGCAGATGACGATGCAGAGGTTGATGGAGGCCCAGTCAGGCTGGGCAGCCCCGCAATCAGCACAGAATCTGTTGGGGGCTGCGGCCCAGATGCGTTCAGCTACCTCCGAGGTGGACAGAGCTTCAGCAATGGCTCCCTGCATGGCCTCCAGCCACTGCTCCTTCTCTAGGTCTGTGTCTGCGGAGAAGCTGGGGACAAAGGAGTAGGGGGACAGGTGGGAAAGGATTTGGAGGGACTTGAGGCAGCATAAGGGACACAGCATGAAGCAGGTGGACAAGGCACCAGAAGCTTCCAACCAGAAGATAGAGGCATCCTGGATCTGGTGGAGAGGGTAGGTGTGGACAAGGCAAGGAGACTGTGAATCCCAGGGAGACCCTGCCTGGCCCGGGGCTTTAGGAAAAAGGATGCCTGCTAAGTAGAAGGGCTACAAGGCTACTCCAGGCAGAGAGACCAGCATGCCCAAAGGGGCATTCCAGGGCCTGTAGGCAGGAGGGAAGACCGGCAGAAGAGGCTGGGAGATGGACAGGGAGTGGCCTGTGCCAAGCAGAGGTCAAAGTGCACCCTGAGGACAATGGAGCACCGGTCGAGGGTTTAAGTGGGAAGGGGGAGAGGACTGGACAATAAACAGAACACACACACACACACACACACACACACACACACACGCACACATTTTCTCTGAGGACACTATCACCTCTAAGCTTCAAATGTGTAGGGTCTACACCACCCAAAGCCCACTGCCACTACCACAGTCAATGCTGGGGGTAAAGGACATTAGAACCATCAGGAGACGGGCTAAGGGCCCCCTCATCCATGGCAGCCTGGGCATGTGGAGTTTGCAAAGCCACCAAAGACAGATGAGCACTGACAGCCAACAGCAACGGGCCTGTGTGTCAGGCTGGTAGTGGCCCTGGTACGGAAAACCCGGTCAGCCTCACTAAGGCTGGTGGCAGTAAGCAACCACGGGAGTGGGCAGGCCTGTGTGGACCCGACACACAGAGGGAAATTCTACAGGTAGACTCTGTGGTTGCGCAAAAGGTAAGGATTATGGCAATAAATCTCTGGCCAAGATGCTATCAGAGTACTTCAAATGTAATAAACAAACAAATAAAAATGTGGCTATCAACAAAAAAGCCTACTGCTCTGCACTCAGGTGGAACACAGAGGCTCAGACATGCAGCCAAAGGGTAAAGTTATGGGCAGCTGGGCCAGGGGTCTGCAAGCCTGGGCCAGGACAGCTGGGGCAGAGGGATGGGAACAGACAGAGGTGGGAGCAGAAGGGTGGTGATAGGTTTGCACGGGGCTGAGAAGGGGCTCTAGGCAGAGCAAGGGAAGAAGCTGCAGGGAGAGGCCTATGTGGAGATATCAAGCAGCAGGTCTTGCACTCAGAAATCTCGCCAGGCAGCCTGCTGAGCTCAGGGAAGAGATGGTGGTGGTGGTTAGGCCCGTGTTATGGACCACACAGTGTCAGAGAGTCCTCAGTTCCCCTGGACAAGACCACAGTGGTCTTCCAGGTCACACAGCTAGGTAGAGATAGGCCCAGAGTTGGAAGCCAGGCACAGAGCCTGAGAGGTGGTGGGAAACGGCTTGGGGATTGGTGAGGCTGCCAGAGAGAGGGCAGAGGACAGAGACAGACACTGGGGGACACTGAGACCCAGAGAGAAGCACCCAGGACAGGCTGCAGACACATGGAATGAGAAAGCTGCCTTGGAGACAAGGAAGTGTTCATAGAAACCAAGAGCACTATACAGGGAGCAGGGCAGGTGGAAGGGAGGGCAGCGGGCAGCAGTGCACAAAGCCAGGAGGGGCAGTCCAGAGCAGTGCAGCAGGCGCATGGGCCAGGGATGGCCGGAGGGAGGCGGAATGGAGTAAGATTCTTGGAAGGGAGAAACCAGAGTGGACTAGGGAGTGAAGACCAAGACCTGCCTGGGCGGGACAGGGCTGGGAAGGGAGGGACACCACCCCCATTGTGCAAGAAGAAAACACCTGGAGGGAAGGACGACACAGCCAAGCAAGGCCGAGGGAGCCAGGGCTCACCTGAAGATGCGGTAGGGTGTCGTAAGGTCAAAGCTGCGCCGGTCAGCTTCCTTCACGTTGCCCACACTCATGTCGATGAAGGTGATGCCAATGCCCAGGTGGTACTCCTGGCAGATGGGCAGGAAGGGATGAGGGCAAGGTTTTGGAGGCAAGGTGTAAGGCCCAGGAACAGGGAGAGGAGGGAAAGGTGGTAGTGTAGGGACTAGAAAGTGCCTAGGAAGGAGATAAGGGGGGACTCAGGAATCTGAGCATGAGTAAAGGGGCTGGGCTCAGGTCCCAGGCAGGTACGGCACAGGGAGAGGCTCAGTAACCTAGCCAAACCTTTCTCACCTCCACATTCTTATAGAGCTGCACTTTGTGCCCCACCACAGCCACATATAGCTTATTCTTGAAGCCACGCAGCTCCAGGTTGCCGGCGCAGTCGGGTTGCTCTAAGCCTCGAACTCCCACCAGGTAGGCACCAGACTGCTGGCCCCGGGTGCGCTGCTCAGCCACTGCCCGCTGCAAAGACTGCATCCACTCCTTCCGCTCCACTGGGGGAGATGAGCTGAGTGAGCCTGGGCCCAGGAGGGAGCTCCCAGGTCAGCTGGCCCTGAGCTCCTCAGGAAATGCCTCTGCCCACTCACCACTCCTCCGGGCTTCTCTGACTTGGACAAGCTCAGGCCCCGTCCCAGCTTGGGCCACTTACACTGGGCAAGTCACTTCACCTGCCCCAGCCTGCTTCCCCTGATTACAGGGACGAATGGCCCTGGGGACTCAGGAGTGTCCCCACCTCAGAAAAGGATGTTACCGCCCTGGACTGAGGTGGGGAGCAGACAACTTTGCTTCTCTTCCTCCCTTTATCTGGCCAAACCTCCAGTCTCCTCTCTCCCTCCACCCACACACGCCACCCTATGAACTCCCCACCATCACTCTCTGCCCGGAAGGTAAAGGTCCGGTTGTTTGTGATCACTTCGAACTTCTGGTCTCCAATGGCAGTCACCCGAGAGATGCAGGCCACAGAGATAAAGCGCTTAGAGTAGGCATCCTGAGGAGAAGGAAAAGAGCTGAGTTTCGGGGGTAGAGTGGAGTCCCCAGAGTCCCTCACCAGCTCCCCCAGTGTCAGCGGAAATGAAGGCCGCGGGCCTGTCTCTTGACGGGTGGTCAGAAATCGCCCCATGTGACCCTAACCTCTGCCCATGGCTGCCTATGGGCTAATGGGCCAGGGGCCAGGAGGACATAGGTCAAGGAGTCAAACTGTGGCTCTGGTTAGGACATCACCTCTATCCAGTGTCAGGGTTCAGCCTGGCCCCAGGCTAGAGCAAGGGTCAAGTCCAGGACTGATGTAGGCCTCACCTTGTTACTGTCAAAGTATCGCAGGTGATCAACATCCAGTCTCACCCATCGCTTCTGATAGATATAAGACCTGAAGAGGCAGAGGCAGAGAAACAATGATGCAAAGGGTTGTGGGGCAGGGGAGAGGTTCAGGGTTATCCCAGCCCTACCACCCGAAAGCCACACACAAAGTTAGGGTCAACTGGATTCAAAGGAGAAAAGATCTCAAAGATCCACTGGGGGAAACAGACTTTACCTACAAGAGTGACTGAAGGAAGACAAAGTAAGACTTCCCAGTTCTAAAACAGGTGTGGAGCAGATAATTGGTAACGAGTGTGTCCAGGGGGAGACCTGCTCAAATACTTGTGGAGCCCTCTGTTTTCCGATCCATGTCACCAGAGTCCTAGAGCACTGTCTGTCCCCATGCAGACCCAAGAGGTCTCACTCACCCCTGCGGCGGGTTCTTATATAGCCAGCCAGCCTTGATAACCGGTGTGATGGGGGGGGAGCCCCCAGGCAGCTCATCCATGGGGTGCGGCGCGAGCTCGGGGACCAGGCTGGGCAGGGGAGAGCTCAGGCTGCTGCTGTGCCATCCACCACTAGGAAAGAGAAGGGATGGAGGGCGACAGGGCTAGGGGCTCCCCCGGGGTAGGGCTGGGGAAGACATGAGGGCCAGGGACGGGCTGGGCTTTGGGAGGAAGGTGGCCGGGTGGGGGAATCACCATGGAGCAGGCACTCACTTGGGGACGCCCTTGTAGACACGGTCATCCTCATCCTCGTCGTCCCCGGACAGTTCCTCCCCCTCACTCAGCAGACTGGCCACACGCACAGCCCGAGGGACTCGGTTCGGTGGGGGGTCCTCCTGTACCCCCAGGCCCACTGAGTGTCACGCTCCCCTTCAAACTCTGATCACACCCCCGGGATGCCACTCCAAGCTCTGTCCACCCACCCCTGACCCACATGACTCAGCACTTTTACTTCTGTTTCCTCACACTCCCCCCTCCACCCCACCCCCAGCTGAGACCACAAGGGACCCAGGGTCACAGGGACAGGACAGCCAGTGGCAGACGAAGACCTAGGACAGGAATAAAGATAGAAAAATAAAGGGGCAGAGAAAGGCACTGGGTTACAAGTCAGATACTCAGAGAGGGAGTGACATGGGAACAGAAAGTGAAAGAGAAAAGGACAGTCACTCATGACAGAGACACAGAGGCTGGAGGGAACATACACCCAGCCAGATGCAGCCAAAGTCTGGGGCAGAAGCCACAGACCTGAGCCCCAAATCCCTGTCCCCAGGCTCAGGGGCACACCTGACCCAACCCCTGTAGAGCCAGACAGTGTAGTGGGGGAAGGAGCTATCCACCCTGTCTGGTGGGCCCCAGGATCTGCAAGGCAGCTGGGCAGCCCTCCCTCCACACCTCAGGCAGACGGCCCAAACCTAGCCACTGCCCTGTCCTACCTTCTTGGTCATCACACTGGCAGGGGCCCTTGGCCCCTCCTCTGGGGCCTCATCATAGTCAGAGTCATCTGGTGAGAGAAGGGTGGGAGACTCTCAGCAGCAGGGACCTGGGCTGCCTCTCTGGGACACCACGGACACCATGGCTTGACTTCACAAAGGCCACCCCCAGACCAAGGAAGATTCCCACCCCCAAGCAGCCTGTCTTTCAAAAAAAAGGCACAGGGACAGGAAGTGCTATTTATACCATCAGAGAGGCAGGGCTACTACAGGGAGGCCTGATGAGGCAGCAAACTTGGGGGTCAGGGGCGGGGACTATTCAAAAAAGGCAGTAAGAACCAAGAAAAGTAGACAACTCCAGGACCTGCAAATCACAATTCCAAGGAAGATACTGCCAGACTGGGACCCACAGTCACTCAGGAGCGGCCATGGCCCTGCACTGGCGGTGAGCGTCAGGTAGGGGGCGTTGTCTCCACTTGAGCAATAAAGAGAAGGATGCTAACAGAGGCCTCAGGACCTACCTAGGGCCACACAGCACTGGTGGCAAGCAGCAGAAAGGGCACTGCCACCCCTGCATGTTCTCCAGGAGCCCATCCCAGATGACCCACCTAGAGTCCAACTCATCCCATCCTGGCCCGAAGCACTCACCAAATTCCGGGGGCAGGCGGAAGGGCTTCGGAGGAATCTCTGGGGGGCAGAGCAGCCCCCGGGGGAGGATGGATGGTGGCTCCTTGGGCTCTAGCTGGGGAGGGGATGACAGTGGTGGTGGCAGCAATAACTCCTCCTCCTTGGAGGGAAGACTGGAAACAGAACAGTTGAGTATCACTAAGTAACAGATCCAGGACTCACACCTACAGAGCCCTGGCTCACCATTTCCCACACCATGCCATAGCTGGAGTCCACCTCACACAGCCTCCTGCCTGATCCTCCTGACTAAAGCCCTTCCTGGTGCCCCAAAGCCTAGAGGTGCCACCAGCCAGGACCCTCTGCAACGCAAATGTGACACTCTTTCCCCATTGCTCCGGCTTTTAGCTGCATGTACCCACTGGGCCTCAGTCTGGAGGAGAAATGGACCTGAACCCCGAGTCAGGGAAGGATTCCTGGGAGAGGTGATGCTTTTGTTGGCAAAGGGACTGGGCAGGATTGTAACGAGCATTGAGGCGGAAGGCACAGACCAGTGTCAGAAACAACTCCTGAGTCCCTGGGGCAAGCCACCACCTTACTCGCACAGACTTGGATATTTGCTACTCCTGAGGGGTCTGGAGCTCCCCAACTCACCTCATCCCACCATATTCATCTCCCACCACACTGGCTCTTCTACCATGCCCTCAGGAACCCTCTCCGCCTCTCGAGAACCAGGTTAGAGGTATCTGAGCTCTCACACTTCGGTGCCCCTGTGGCTCCCAACACAGAGCTCCGTGTCATCTGAGTGTCTCCTGAGGGCTGTGGCACCACAGACATAGGTCTGAACCTCGCCTTAGCCTCTTATCCCTGTGTCCTAGGACACATGCACCTCACCCCTCCGAGCCTGGGTTTAGTTTTCTGTAAAATGGAGATTACTACACCCTGGGAAGCTGAGGAAAAAGGATCTTAAGCTCAAGCCCAGCCTGGGTAACTTGGCAATTTAGTGAGATCCTGTCAAAACAAAAACTAAAAAGGGGGCTGCAGATGCAGCTCAGCACAAAGGCCCTGGGTTTAACTCCAGTCCTGTGGGGAAACTATTTCCACAGGTGGGGTGGTACAGGATGAGTCTCGGGAGAGCACACATGCTCTCGGATCACCAGCAGGAACAAGCTCTGAACCTTGGAGGTCTGGCCCCACAACTGTCTCTGCCAGCATCCTACAGAGGCCAAGGAACAGCATCAGAGTGGCCTGGTGTGTTCCCCAGGTGTATGACAACCGTGACAGCAAGAAGGGCCTGGAGGATGTGACAGGGTTGGCCTGGGGCCACCACTCACACTGTTGCCTCTACCAATGACCGTCTTCTTATTCTGTCAGGGGAGCACCTTCCTCTCATTTTTGACCTCTAGACCACATCCTCCTGCTCTCAAAGTTTGCCCTGGCCCCTGTCCTTACCCTGCAATATGAGCTTCATAGAAATTATTCCAAATGACTCTTCTGAAAGGAGCTTCCTCATGCCTCATACTGTACTAGCATCTAAGCTGGGATCTGAATCCAGCTCCAACACCCATGCGCTTCTTGGGACCCAGCCCTCTTTCCTGCAGGGTGGAATGTGACCTGCTGCTGGCTTTCAGCTCTTCTCTAGACATGCGCTCCGGTGGCCTGCAGCCGTGTTTCTAGGCAGCACTGTCTTGGCAACAGTGGCCTGCACGCGGAACTGCATCAGGGCCAGGAGAAACTGTCAGCAGACTCTAAATCTGGCAGACAAGCCGGAGCTTGGGCTGCAAATGTGGTGACATAACCAGGCACATCCCAGACAGCAATCTGAAGCCACACTTGTAAGGCTGTTAGAAGGCATTAGTGCACCTGGGGCAAGAGGTTTATAATCCTGGATGGGTCCCTGTGAGTCACCTGTGCACTCTGATCCTCAGTCCCTTACCCTGAGCTGTCACCTGGAGGGCCACGGAGCCTGGCTTCTGAACAGGTATGTGTGTGTGGATCACTATGCAGGGGAAAACATTCTGCTGCTCCAGTGGCAAGACACTCCCTACCCCTCTGCCCTCAAAATGTGAAGTCAAGGGTCCCGTGGTGGTCTTTTTTAGTTCTGTTTTTTGTTTTTTTGAGACAGGGTCTCATTATGTAGTTGAGACTGACCTGGAACTCACTATGTAGCCCAGGCTGGTCTCGAACTCACAGCGATCCTCCTGCCTCAGCCTCCCAAGTCCTAGGATTACAGGTGTGCGCCACCATGGAAGCCTGGCTTCCATGGTGATCTTGACAGCTTGTGTGCTGGACCTAAGAGGACCTCTTGGTGGGCAATGCACCAGACTGTCTCCCCTGCTTGATCCTGCATGCCTTAGGGGAAGGGTAGCACCTGACTTGATATCTCAGGTCAGGCCAGGGCCTGGCTACATCACAGCAAAAACTTATTGGATAGGTGGGTGGATGGACAGGTAGAGGGGACTGTGGGCAGGTGAATAACTGGCCACTAGGGTCGGAGGGAAGCAAATGAAAGGGTGAATGATGACTGAATGGCCCGAGAGTGTGGCCGGAGAGGTTGGCCCAGCTGAGGTGATGGCCTGGGAGACTTCCTGACAGGCAAACCATCCATCACACTACACTGCAGCCTCTCAGGGCACGAGAGGCAGCAGCCATGGAGGCCTGGTCCATGGTCAGCTGGAAGCGGAACTCCCAAGCTGGGGGGCAAGAGCCATGCACACTGTGGTCCACAGCAGGTGGGGACAGACTCCCTCCATCCAACACCACACAGGGATAAGCAGCCTGGCTCCCAACACGCCTCTGAAGCTGAGGGGAAGACGGTGACAACAGAGCCAGACTGCCCACCTGCCACTCTTCATTCTTGGGGTCCAAGTAGCATCAGCTCAACTCCCTCAGGCACCCAGGCCACCTAACTTGAGGCCTGCCATCTCACACTTGGGTTCCCACCTCCTTCACTCTTCAGTCCCTGTCAGGGGCTTATATAAATGAATAAATTCCTGGATTAATTCATTCTTATTGTGTATTTATATATGTGTGCCCCTAGATGCTCTCTAAGTGCTTTACATGGATTTACTCACTTATATACTACAAGGGCATTATGAGGCAAGGGTATTGTTCCACTATACAGACCAGAAAACTGAGGCACAGATATGCTAAGCAATCTATCCTTGGTCCCATTCCTGGGATTTGAACCCAGGCAGCCCATTACCACAGCTTGGTACTGAGGTCATGCCAGGATATGAGGGCTTCTCCCTTGCTCTGGCCACCTAGGCTCAGGGTCTAAGTCTTGTTCCAAGGGGGAACAAGATCACCACTCTGACAGCCACCACTGTGACTATGGCAAGAAGGGAGAGGGGAACACAGACAAAAGGCTCCTCTCCCAGCAGCGCTTCCCCAGGGAGCAGAAGAAGAGGCTCTTGTAAACCTCCAGGCCCAACTCTGGCTGCCTCCTCCAGGAAGTCTCCTGGCTACCCAGTCTGCCTGCCTGCCTGCCTGGCAGGAAAATGGGAGCCCTGCTGAGTCAGGGCTGGGCCCAGGAAAGGAGAAGTCGTGTCCGGAAAGCACAGCATGTGGAAAACCCCAGGGGAAGGAGCAGTGTCCCCCTGCTGAGAACAAAGCCTGTGAGGTGCCCCTCCTGCAGCCCTCAGTTCCGCCTCCTAGGGTTAGTGCCAGCTCTAGCTCAGCTGGATGCTGCCCACTGGCCTATGCTCATCCCTGAGCAAGAGGGCAAAGGACTCACCGGAAGCCTTTGTTCAGTTTCCTCCTCCTCCTGCTCTCTCTCCTGCTTATCTCTGCCCCTGGAATTGCGCCACCCTCACAGTGCAGCTCAGCCGGCCTCCTCTGCACAGCCCCTAGGATGCCCTTGCAGAGCTGCTCGTCCCACATTCCCATCTCCTGGCTCCCCTGCTCCTTCAGTCCTTTCTCCTCTGCACTTGATTTCAGCCAAAAGATCAAGAAGCAATGAGCCCTTTCTCCTCCGGCCAAGAGACAAATGAGGGGACATCTGCTTTCCCCGTGATGCCCATGGCAGGACTGGGCACACTGGGTCTGAGCCCGCAGCCTGAGAAGCCTGACTTACTAGATTAGGGAAAATACTTAGTGGACTTTATACACGGGGGCTGGGGAGACACATGAGGGTCCCAAGTCAGAATGGATAAGAGGGCCAGACATGGTGGCATACACCTGTGAACCCAGCAAATAGGAGGCTGAAACAGGAAGATCACTGCTTTAATAAGGCCAGCCCAAACTATACAGCGAGATCCTCTCAAAAGCAAAACAAAATAATGCCAGGCATGGTGGTGCACGCCTGTAGTCCCAGCACTCTGGAGGCTGAGGCAGGAGGCCTAGTTCAAGGCCAGTTTAAGATCAGCCTGAACTATATAATGAAACTGTCTCAAAAACAAAACAGGGCTGGGGATTTAGCTCAGTGGCACCATACCTGCCTTGCAAGCGCAATGTCCTGAGTTTACTCCCCAGTACCAAAAAAAAAAAAAAAAAAAAAAAAAAACAAACACCAAAATAAAACCAAACACACAAAAAAGGAATGAGTATCATTAAGCATATAACCGAAACATTTCAGTTAAAAGAGGCACTGTTAATAAATAACCATGTCAAGGCAACAAGCACAAACAGGATCTGTCCAGACCAAAAAAAAAAAAAAAAATGTTATCACTCCAGCTAAGAGACAGGGCTTCAGAGCCAAGCAGACCTGGGTGTGAGTTCCAGCCTAAGCATCATCTGACCTTGAGTTGTTCAATTCCCAGCCTGTTTCCCCTCTCACCTGGCTCTAGGCTCACTGGTCATTCAGTAAAGAAGAGGCACTCCCGCCCATCACCGGCACAGCTTTGGCACTGCTGTGGCTGCCTAGGGCCTCGGCCACACAGGCTGGCCAGAAAGCGGCTTCCTGGCTTCATGGTCCAGCAGAGGAATAGGGTCTCACCTTGAGGCAAGTAAGGCTGTAGAGTGGGGCAGCCAGCGTATCTAAGGCTGGCCCTGGGCTGACCCCACTCACATGCCACTCCTTGACTCAGCTACATTCTCCACACACACACTGTTCCTTCTACCCAGAACACCGCACCGTCCCCTGTCTGGCCACATGCCTACTTTTCCTTCAAAGAGGGCAAGGCACACATCCTCTCCCTCTACTGTGGGCTTCCCCTCATACTTCAGGATGGTTTGG